CTTGTTTTTGAGGGCCTCTTTGCCGGAATGTGTTAATTTGCTCGGTTTGTTTGATGAGCTTGAGAGGGTTAGTGGTCAAAAAGTTAATCTGTCTAAGTCGTCGATGTGTGTGAGCTCTAATGTTTCCGATCAGGAACGTGAGGTGTTGAGTTCCTTTCTGGGGGTGGCGGATTCGAGTTTGGCTGACAAGTATCTAGGGCTGCCCATCCATGTACAAAGATCTAAGACTCAGACTTTTTGGTTCGTTGAGGAAGGATTGGCTGCTAGGATCAGGTCGTGGAAATCCAAAGCTATGTCCTTGGCGGCGAAGGAAACGGTGATTAAATCTATCGGTTCGGCTTCCTCGATATATGCTATGTCTGCTTTTCGTTTGCCTTCTTTCACATGTCGCAGGTTAAATGGCCAACTGTCTAGGTTCTGGTGGGCTGATCAGGATAAAGAGGATGGCATCCACTGGCTATCTTGACAGGAGGTGTGCCTAAGTAAGTTTGCAGGTGGACTAGGCTTCCGGGATTTTGAGCGGTTCAACATTGCGCTCCTGGCTAAACAGGCTTGGCGGGTTCTGTTGAATCCGGACTCAACGCTGGCAGCGCTGTACAGGGCGAGATACCACCCGCATACATCATTCTTGGAGGCGACGCCGGGTCCGCGGCCTTCCTGGGCTTGGCAGGGTATATTAGCCGGGCGGGATCTTTTAATCCGGGGGCTCCGATGGCGGATTGGAAATGGGACTACAGTGCAGGTCTTAGCAGATAAGTGCCTGCCCTCGACTCCTCCCTCTATTCCTTTGTTGCAGCCGCATATTATTTCTTGCCCTGTGTTTGTCTCTGATCTCATTTTCCCTTTCACCCGAACATGGAATGTGGACCTACTGACAAGCCTCTTCATGACTGAGTCGGTGGCATTAATTCTATCTATTCCGCTGCCTATGCAGGTCTCTCAAGATAAGCTCATATGGCATTATTCCCCAACTGGGGAGTACACGGTCAAAACTGGGTACCACATTCTTACTGATGAGATGCTTGCTGCCCATCCTCCTGCTCCGTTGCCTTATGATTGCAGGTTCTGGAAGTTACTATGGGGTTTACCTCTTCCTCCTAAACTGAAGTTCTTCTGGTGGCGAGTGGTCCGCGGCTTTCTTCCCGTTCGAGCGGTTCTGCAAGGGAAGCGGCTGGTTGATGATAATACATGCCCTATCTGTTCCCACGGTGCGGAAACTATTGGTCATTCTTTCCTCCACTGCAGAGTTGTTGTAGAGCTTAGGATGCTGGCTGGGCTGGGCGATTTGAGAAGAAGGCTGGAAGGTTTGGTTCCGTCGGATTGCTGGCAGGCCTTATTCTTCTCTTGTCATCTTTCAAAGACTGAGATTGCTAACGTAGTTTTTCTTTGTTGGCGAGTATAGAAATCCCGCTGCTAGGCTCTTCATAAGCGCCTGCAGTACATGGGGCAGGCTCTGTTTCGTCAATTCCGTGCTCAGGTGGACGAATGGCAACATGCAACTGCTCCATTGACACTCCGTAGGGTTGGGGATGGGACATCTAGGCCACGGATGGGCTCTGGCCAGGCAGTACCGTCGCAGGTACCAGGTGGGGTGTGTCCAGCAGATGGTGTACTAGTCCGGTTCGATGGAGCTTGGAAGAAGGATTCAGGGGGCGGTATCGGATTTGTCGGGGTTGCCAGCAACGGACAGATCCTGTTCGCCTTCAGGCGGTATTACCCAGGTGTGTCGGAACCTTTTACTTCGGAATTATTAGCTCTTCGTGATGCGGTTAACTGGTGTATGTTGCATGGATTTGGTTCGGTCAATTTCTGTGGCGATTGTCAGCCTTTGATTCGCAGGGTACGGATGAAGGATGTGAACCATGGATCGGGAGGTGCGATCTTGGAGGAAATTTGCTCTGCGGGCGCGAATTTTAGTTTTTTTGATTGTAATTTTACTCCTCGGTTGTACAACAGGGCTGCCATCTAGTGGCTACTAATGCCCTTTCATCGACAGTTCGACTACTTGTCGACTGTCGCGTCTGGTTGTCGAGTGTCATGTAATATCTATAACCGTCCATATCTATGCCAAAAAAAAAAAAACCAAACCAAACAAGATAGGTAGAAGCAATTCCAGATCATTATTAACGATTTTAATATACTCATCAATGTTTTACGATAACGATATTTGTATATGTAAGGCAGTCACCTAACAATAATATTTGTATTTTTGATTAACATCAATGTTTTACTCTACTTTTATATTTCATTATGTGTTTGGTTGAAATTAAGTATGACCTCACACATCAATCGATTAGAAAATATGTGAGGTTGAAAGTTAAACCTTTACCACTTCAATCGTATGAAAATTTTATGGGCAATCATTTCAGTTTTTTTAACACTATATTTTAAACTTTGGATTACAATTATATCAAGGTTTCAATTTATTTTTTTTTTATTAATTTTGAGTTGCCATCCAAAGTGGAGGAAAATTAGGAATAAAAAAATAAAATAAAAGTAGAGTAAATATAGTTCAATGGATAGTTACCGGCCTAGGACTGGAGGTTTGGTACCGGAATTTGGGATATACCGAATACCATACCGAATTTGTCTATATTTTGCATTATCGAATACACGTATTATTTCGTGGGATTGGGATTGAGTTTCAATTGTTCTTAGGTATTAGGGATTACAGGATTGAGATCGGTATATACCGAAATACCGATCAATACCGAAATATAAGCTAGTGTGTATATTATCCTCTCAACTAGACTCTCTCCTTCACTACTACGTGACCCTCAACCACCTAGAGTGTCATTTAATTATACATAGATTATTACATCATTATTTCACACTAGTATTAGTCGTCTCTCAACCTCAAATTCATCAAATTAAAGATTACCAATTACAAAAACTTGAGATGTTAGCTCTAGGCAACTGAAGACTCTTTGCTTAGTCTCTTTGCCCTAAATTAAATAATAAAATCTAATTTATATATTTAATTATTAATTGCAAAAGGTAATTAATTTTGTATTTGATAATATTGATTGAGATACCGAGGTACCAATTGGGATACCGAAATTATTTAGGGATTGAGATTGAGATTAATTTCAGGGTATAATTCGGTATTCGAGATTTCGGTATTTGGTATTGGGATACCGATACCGTACCGATTTCCATCCTTAGTTATACCGCCTTACCGGTTACAGCTAACAACGGTAGTTGGAGAGGGGGGAGGGATTTGTGATTTTGTGTGTGAAGATGGTTTGTGATTGGTTTAATGATTGCTAACGTGAAAGCATAAGGGAAGGAAAATTTTGAAATGGTGAAGACTTTAACGGAAAAGTGTATAATATATTTTTTAGATATAATACTAACTCTCTAATTATCCTTCATAATCTATAAATTGCAAATTATCTAAGATTGATTTAACGACTAGGAATGCCTTAAGAACAGGGGCGGAGCCAGGGAGTATTGAGGTGTCCCGGGACCCCATAATTTTTGGATAACGATTATCCAATCCCCGGTAATAGTTTTTGTGTGGATAAAAAATATATGTGGTAGATTAGGTGATTTAAATTAGGATACTAAGATTATTAGTAAACATGTTTTTCATTAGACCACAACTCATTTGTTATTGTATTTTAAACACTAGTTTAATAGTAAAAATGATATTCCTTCTCCCAGTTATTTTGAAAATCTAACAATTGAACCTGATTACGGGTTATCCTTATTCCCTCCATTCTATCATATCCATTGGTTTACTTGCTTCTCAAAGTAATTGATTTTACCGATTGCAACTGCAGGTGTTGAAATAACATATTTAGTTTTGGGAAACTTTAAGAACAAGTTTCGAAATTGATTAAATGATCAGTTTGTGAATGATTGTATAGTAAGATGGAGATATTTGTTGAGTCGTCCTGACACTGAGTATATTTTGTAACACGCCATAGACTTTTGTTGTAATTTGTATTAGTTAGATATTTTCTAATTTAAAATTATTTAATTTTTGAAAGAGGACACCCCTATATAAATTTCTTGGCTCCATCGAATATAAGAACTTTTAACACATCTGAAGGTATTGCTCTGTAAGCATGTAGTTGGATGTGGGAAAACCAACTAAGAACTAAGAAGTACGTATAGTTACTTCCAACCATATATAACAAGAAACAAAAGTCCAGTTGTTTGGTTAATTGGTTGGGAGAAAGTTATTAGGGTCAGCTAGGGTGGTTTAGAATTATAGTTTTCAGGTATATGATGGTAGTTTGGAACCTATGGTCATGGACAATAGAATATGTAGAAAACCTTAGCGGTCAACAATAACCATCGGAAAAAAAGAAGTTAGAGTGAGAATGTGTACCGGCATGTTGTAGCTACTAGTAGATTGGTTATTACGAATTATTTATTTACGATGAACGATAAATCATGACATCCACGAGAAATGCATGTTAACAAAAGTTCGTCATAAATGTTACAAATCTCGATAAACGAATCACCACGAGTGAAACAGATTTGGAATGAATAATAATTGTATCAAGAATCACGATAAATATTTCATGTCGGCATAAAATTGCGAACTAGCAAATTGGTGTTGGAAATTAAAGCTTTGTCTGTTAGATTACTGGTCCACAGCCACAACACAGCATGGGTAGGGTAGAGATCAGTAATGGTTTACCTAATGAAGCATGGACAAGACATGATCAAGAGATGGAGAGTTCCAGAAACAGAAACAGGGGGATTTAATGGATAATAGCCATACATTTTTTTCTTTTGTCTTCTGGTTCTGGAACTGGAAGAGGGGACAACCACCATTACAAGTAAAAGTATTAAATAATAAAAAAGGGAAAAGATAAAAAACTTATTTTATTTAATAAAAAATTAGACAGATAGTGAAATTTCTAGTGATTTTTTTAAAAATTAAATACAATTATCTAGTAAAAAGATTAAAAAAAAAAAAAACACAAAGCAGCTAAGGACAAAGACAAGCCTAAGAATCATTCCAGGAGATATAAATTACCACCGTCTTGATCAATTGAACTCCAAACAAAAAAAAGAAGAAGCCGAGACTTGTATCAAGTTTCACTTCATTTGTTCTTTTTTCTGTACACTGCCCATACACACAAACACATATATCATACCCACAAAACCAGAATGCACACATCCAAAATCCAGACACAATAACAGAAACAAAAATCAAAACTATCTTAGCTTCTTCCTCTTACCTGAAAACCAATGGATTCAAAGCTCGACCTTCTCCTCCGCTCTTTCACATTCTACATCTCATCAATCCTATCCATAATCCGCTACTTCCTGACAAGCTTCAGCCGTTTCAAGTAAATCCCATCTGCATTCACCGTCTCCGACGCCTGCATTTCGCTTTACTTTCGCCTCCTCGGCCTCTCCCCTGTCTCGATCCACGTAGACGACGAGACAACCCTCCATTTCTGGGCTAGTCGTGGCAGAAGTGGTGGCCGTGACCGGAAACCTGATGATGAGAGGCCTAACCTGGTCATGATCCACGGCAAGTGCGGGGACTCTCGCTGGCAGTTCATGTACCAGGTTGAAGCAAATCACTTAGCCATAATGTATATGTAGCAATGATCATTAATGTATGATTGTGAAACCCTGACTCTCTCTGACCCCAGGTTGGCTACCTGTCGCGGCGATTCGACCTCTACATCCCCGACCTGCTGTTCTTCGGCAAGTCCTACACGACGAGAAAGGAGAGGTCAGAAGCCTTCCAAGCGAAATGCCTGGCGGAAGGACTCAGGAAGCTGGGGGTGGACAGGTTCTCGATTTACGGGATCAGCTATGGAGGCTATGTTGGGTATCATTTAGCTCACATGAGTCCTGACAGAGTTGAGAAGGTTGTGCTGATGAGCACCGGGGTGGGCTGCAACGATGACCAGAAGGACGAAATGGTGGCGAAACTCGGCAGAGATCCTAAAGAGTTGCTCGTCCCTCGGACTTCAGATGACCTGAGGGAGCTCATGTATAAGTCTGTTTACAAGAGCAATTACATGAAGCTGATTCCTGATTCTTTCCTTCAGGATTATCTCAATGTGAGAGTTTTCATTTGTTAGTTTCCTGTTTCTGAGAGCTGATTCGAAAAACTTGTATCATGTTTAGTTACCGTTTACTGCTCGAGGTTGATTGATTCCTTTGTGTTTCTTTTACCCATTCCAGGATATAGGTAGTATCCACAGGAAGGAAAAGATGGAGCTGGTGGATCACTTGTTGGCCAAGAACTCCGATGCAGGAAGAAACCTTCCTGTTTTAGCTCAGGTTTGTTCACCAAATCCCTCAAATTTACGTGTAGCTTAAAAGGGGCTATAACCCGCTCAATATTTAGTTTGAGTTTATTAGTATGTTTATGTATATGTTCAAGCGAAACCAATCTCAAGGGCTCGGCCTAATAATAATACGAGAATGACAACCTCCATTATCACACCCTAACTTCAAACTTTCATCTTATCCTGAATCACAAACTAATGTTTCTTGTTTCAGGATACGCTTCTGATATGGGGCAACAAGGATTATGTGTTTCCAATGAATCTAGCTTACCAGCTGCAAAGGTAACGAAATAACACCCACTCAATCTTAGGCTACTCTGCTCTTAACACTTAACAGCCAAGACTTGCAGTTTAACCTTGATGAAAAGGTTTTTGATACTGAGGGGGTAAATATTTTTGACAGGCACTTGGGATCAAAAGCAAGAGTGGCAATAGTCAAAGACGCAGGGCATGCAGTAAATATGGACTCTCCTGATCAAGTTAACAGGCTCATCATATCATTCATTTTGGGCTAACTGGTCACAGAACAAAATTACTCACAGGATTCACCATTAATCATATCTTTCAGCTCAATTTGTTGAATTTTTGGATCAAATATTCATTCTTGTAACAATAGGTTCATGCTGTGCTTTGAAATTCAATCACACAAAAGTACTTTAGAATCTAAAAGTTGGAAGAGTCTGCGTTCGATCAAGAGAACATAGCAACAAACAAGCTCAAACAATATGTGAAAACAGATAATCAAGTCCAATAGGCAAACTGAAAATGACAAAGACTTGATGTAGAGTTTTAATCTTAGAAAGCTTACCAAGGAGTTGGAGCAGCCTGAGTCTTGTTTGGATATGGTTAGCTTTATGATTAAGTTCCATTCTCAGCCTGAAATCAACTGCAAAGCTTCCTGCTGCAACTGTCTTTTACCTGCAATAGAACCTTATAATGAGTTGGTGAGAACTTCTGTGTAGTCTACTCAAGTTCGAGATTCTGGACTGCAACTATAATTGGTAGCAGAAGTTTTATGGTTAGGATTTTTTTCTTTTTTGGAAAATAAGCCTAGTAACTGAAAATAACTATGATGGAAGAAATGCTCCCTTTTCCCTCCAAGCTAATAAGTTCGTTAGAGTTTACGTATTTGGCTAGATAATCTAACCTATTAGAAGACCTCCTCCAGGTAAAGATTCGATTTCCATTTTCCTCTAAATACTCTATTTACGAGATTGCAACATGGTCTCAGAGCCTAGTTACTAAGATTTGCCAAAAAGAATAATACAGGATGATAGATAGATAGCTACAGAGAGGAATTAGAAATCAGTGCACACTGTTTGAAGAAGCTGCTGAATACTGATAGGATATGTTGATGATCAAGCTACCACAGACAAGAAATCTCTGGAATGCAACTCCACCTGTAGTTTGATGCTTACATTTTGTGAGCATTAAACCGTTATTTCATAAGAGCTTCAATCATTCATGAAAAAGAAGAAGAAATTAAATTCTATACGAAAGTTAATGTGATAATTGAAAGTTTGAACCATCTATGATATGCAATCCATCATGGAGCAAGGTAATCTGTAATGAACTGCCTACTCATTATAAAAATCAAAATCAAAATCAGAATTATCCAATATTTCGCAACTGATTTATTTAACTCTCTTATCATAAGAAGTTTGAATATTCTTTTTGGATGAGGATGGAACAACCTATGATAAAGTAGAAACAAAAAGGAAGAATTTTTTTTCCAAAGTGAACGATAATAATGCAGTAGAGACAATACAAAAATAAAAAGTCTAATTCCAAAACATGCGGAGAAGGGTAGAAGACGGATTTTGCATAGATGATTTTTAGAAACTCTTTTAAGATATTTTAAAATTAAGATTCCTTCAAACCACAATAAGAATCCAAAACTAAAAACATAAGTTGGAAGTTTTTAACCAAAAACATAAACTACAAGTGAAATGAGCATCGCTATAAAATGTTGCAATTGAATCCAACCATCTCGCCGCCAATTCAATGTCTTGCAGCAACAATCTAGTTTATAGATTTTCTGACTCCTCATCAGAACTTCCCCTGACATATAATCGTTGTCCTCAATTTTCCTTACATTGTCCACAGGTGGAATGCTACATAAATATATCAACATTTCAGAAACGGTTTCATGTTTATCCAATGTTAGCCACTAACAAATTTTCTAATTATATTTGACTATGACTTACTGATTGGCCTTGATGAAGTTGTGCAGCAACGGCATACAAAAATATAAAATATTTCTGAAACGATCTCATTATTATCTACTGTTAACCGTTACAAAATCTTTTATCACTATTGATTATGACTTATTCCTCATAGGCTGTGATGTGGACTTTCAGCAACTTCAATTGTCTTTCATGCATAACCCTCATTTTCTGAATTGTCTTGATTACTTTAACTAACTTGATAAACCTGAACATTAAGAACTAAACACAATAAGTTAAAAAAAATAATCAAAAAATCATGAAAAGGGGAATATGCTTCCCTAATTCAACGAGAGAAAAAAATGCTTCCCTAACAAGATGATAAACTATTTCAATAAATTTTTCTATATTAGATAATCGCTTGACACGTCTCAACATTTTCCCAGCATATTCTGAAAGGCGATAATGTCTACGTTAGTAATAACATTAGCATCAGATGCGAAAAATGTAGAAAAGAAATCGCATATTTGAATGTTCAGTTGGGGAAAGAGACATTTTGTAGGGAATACAAATAAATCCTATTTTTTCCATTGGTTGTTGACCCCAAGGTTCGAATTGGAGTCTAGTAAATGTTGTCATTCCCACATTATCACTAGGTCAACTGCTTGGGGTTTTCATGCCTACTTTTCCTGACCCCATTTATTAACTTATTAAATTCTTATTTAAATTATAGAACATAAAATAAATACCTTACTCATTCTTCAACACTCAACCACCTACTAAAATCGCAGGATTAATCTAGAGGCCGTATTTAACTTAAGAAACTCAAACATTTAGACTTAAGAACATTTAAAAGCATAATGAGTGAATTTTCATGGACAGTTAATTAGTTCATAGAATTTGTCATATGGAAAGGAATTAGATCCAAATTTGTGATAGATAGATGGGACCATGCTTTGAAATTACTATAATTTGAACTTTTTAACCTGTTATAACAGGTTTTATAGGTTGCATTACGTCAATCTAATGTTTATTATGTAACGATTACATAATGTTTGTTAGTCTTATGTAACAGTTAAACTAGAAGCGCTACGAAAGGTTTCCGTAACGACTTATCATTTTACGTAACGCTAGGTTAATATTCATTACGTAAAAACATCGTCTATTACATAAGCCTTCCATAATGACATTTTGCAACTGTTACATAAAATACATGATCATTACGTAAAGGTTACGTATCGAAGGTTATTTCTTACGTAACAGGGAAATTTGAAGTGTTACGTAAAACTTCCGTAATGACTTACCACATTACGTAACTTGATTAATATTCATTACGTAAAAGGATCATCCATTACGTAAGGCTTTTGTAATGACACTTTACAACTTTTACATAATATATGCATCAATTACGTAAAGGTTACGAAACGATAGTTATTTCTTACGTAACAGTTAAATTAGAAGGGTCACGTAAGTCTTCCGTAATGATTTAACAGATTACGTAACGAAAGGATAATATTCATTACGTAAAATGAGTGTCTATTACGTAAGATTTCCGGCCGTAATGACATTTTTCAACTATTACGTAAAATAAACACACATTACGCAATGCCTGTTGTATTTTACGTAATGCAACTTGTGAAACCTGTTATAACTTGTCAAAAACATCAAGTTACAATAACTTCAAGGTCAAGGTATTATAGGAATTTCCTGGATTATATATATATATGCCGATACTGAGACCATTTTCTTTATTCTACTTAGATAATCGCCAAAACCCATAACTATAGTACTTGTGCAAAGCTGTAGATGACCAATAAGCTACAGATCATGGTCTTGCCAATAACAACTATACCCTTTTCATCGTATATATTATAATGAACGATGATCACGCCCCGGCGCCTTCAGGATCTGAACTCGTTCCTGCAGCAGCTGCCACGTCCTCAATCAGACTAGTCTGCCCTTGTGCTGACGTGGCCCCGGCTGCCGATCTGGCGACGATCATCTCATCCTGATCAAGACAATCCCCACAACCATCATCATTAGCGACCGTATTGGCCGTCGCCATTTCCAACAGCCCCTCTTGCGGGCAGTACTTATCTCCTCCATCTCGACGATAGCCGTTGATCACGAGGTCGTCGTCAATTAGCCACGAGAAGTCGGTGCTCTGAAGCAAATCCGACAGCAACTCCTCATCTATCTCCAAATCACAGCTCAACCCAAAGCAACTAGCACCAACGTGACCACAATTCTGGTCGTTATTGCTTCCGTCGCTATTGTTACGCGTCGCGGGCATTAAAATTGGCGACGGAACCGTAGGGCCGTGCGGGAAGACGGCCTTGCCTCTGCACGGCCTGGTCGCCTTGGTTCGGATCGCTTTTGACGACAAATCTGAACGGCTCTGGTCATGGTTGGTGGGAGTGATGTTATCAATAGCGACGGCTTTGGAGGACGATGGTTTGTGATCTTCGTGATGATCGGCTGCTGCCGTGGGATCTTGTGTGCCTTGAGGGTTGTGGTGATGCTGCTTCTTGCGTAGGTTGGTGTTCCAGAAGTTCTTTATCTCGTTGTCTGTTCGTCCTGGTAGTCTTCCCGCTATTAGCGACCACCTAACATTAGCATTGGTGTTAACAGTAATTAGTACGTGGAATTGGTTAGCAAAAGAAGTATACAATGATGTATGCAAGGATTTGAGATTGTTTTGTTATTATAATAGTGTTTATAGTTGGTCTCAATAACTATAAAGAACCCCAACAAAATATGTCATTCACATCATTGTTTGCTCTCATGGATGACGAAGAAAATTAAATATTCCCGAACTGCACCAAATTATAAGATTTGAGTAATTTTTCTTTTGGCTATACGGATCATACTCAACTTTTTTGTTTGCTCTAAATTGAACTCATGTTATTGGATACCCGATTCTAATGCACTTTTTGTCTTTGTTTTTGTTAGGGTTAAAGACACATTTGGTCACTGAGATTACAAAATCGGGACATGTTTAGTCACTAGAAAAAGTTAATATCAAATTTGGTCACTACAATTACTAAAACTGGACGCATTTAGTCACTCGCCGTTAGTCTCCGTCCAACTCCGTTAATGAAGTCCGTTAAGTGCTGATGTGGCAAACATAATTGCCTAATCAGCCGGATATAACCCAAAAAAAGAAACCCGACCCGCCACGTCATTATAACCCGCCACCTCATTAAAACCAACCCAACCCATTACCCAACCCTTCTTCCTCCTTCCTCCCACCTCGACACCTCCCACCTCCTTCTTTCCCCAAAACCACCACCGCGCTCTCCTCCTTCCTCCCACCTCCTCGCGCAAGCAAAAGCACTGCTCTCCTTCTTGCCATTTCGAGAAAAGGTAACCAGGCCCGGATCTCTATATATTTCCCTTCCGCGTTACTTCATTTCGATTCTCGACGGCGTTCCCGTTTTCAATTGTGGTTTTCCGGCGACCGTTTCAGTTATCGACTGCCAGCTTTGCCTTGTTTTCACTTCGGAAATTAGATCACACCGTAATGTGTCTAGGATCGCCTGCCTTTTGCGTTGGTTTCTTCGTTTTCGTTTTCTTTGAGCTGAATGCGAATTGGGGTTTTGTTGGTTCCCTGACTCGGTGCTTCGCATTCTAGTCCGATGAGTCGAATTTCATGTTATTCTTTCGCGATCCTGCTTCAATCCCTTTTCTAGCGCAGCAGTTTTGTGGATTTAGGGTTTGCCTCTTGTCCTCTGTAGTTCAGCTTCTCTTTGAAGAAGCCTTCATGGACTGCAGTTGAAACAACTGGAGGTTTCGTTTCCTTTGTTTTGCTGGGTGTTCTAATACGTTTCCTGTGGATTTGGAGCTCTATTCTGAGCCCTAGGAAGCTGTCTGCCCGTGTAAATCCTCTTTTGTATTTCGTTTCTCTCTTATCTTTATCCCAATTTGTTTGCCTCATGCGTTTCTATACATCATAAAGTAATCATCCACTGTTCAATTCATTTGCTCGAGTAAGCTGTCTTCATTGTCAGTTCGTTTGTGAATTTACCAAATAAAGACTATTGAATTCTATACTCGTGAATTTACCAATTCATCTGCCCGTGTAATTCTATACTTCTTCGACGTCATCCTCGTCGACGGCTACAACCTCCCGGTCCTCGTCTCGTCGTAGGGCGGGTCGGGTCAGAACTGGTTTGCGGGAGGAGGTGCGAGGAAGGAGGAGAGCGGCGGCGGCGGTGGTTTTGGGGAAAGAAGGAGGTGGAAGGTGCTGAGGTGGGAGGAAGGAGGAAGAAGGGTTGGGTAGGGTTGGGTCATGGGTTGGGTTGGGTTGGTTTTAATGAGGTGGCGGGTTATAATGACGTGGCGGGTCGGGTTTTATTTTTGTTGGGTTGTATCCGGCTGATTAGGCAATTCTGTTTGCCACATCAGCACTTAACGGACTTCATTAACGGAGTTGGACGGAGACTAACGGCGAGTGACTAAATGCGTCCAGTTTTAGTAATTGTAGTGATCAAATTTGATATTAACTTTTTCTAGTGACTAAACATGTCCCGATTTTGTAATCTCAGTGACCAAATGTGTCTTTAACCCGTTTTTGTTATGAAACACCAACATTAACTATGTAATTGGAATAACGACAGTTTACGTGATGGTCAATATTAATTAAGTACAATCATATTAACCCAAATAGACCTATTTATGTCTAACCCAAATGAATGGACTCAATTCATCAAATCCAACCTGAACCCAAAATTATTAAAAGTGCATTTGAATTCTGTTGGGTCTGATCATATGAAACATGAACCCAAAATTATTAAAAATGCATTTAAATGCGTTTGGGTCCAATCATATGAATCATGACAGTTGAGTCAAATTATCCAACAAATCACGATTGTCATTCATATAGCTCTAATATAGAGTCTTTGTAGGAGTGTAGGGGATTATTGAACACTAATTTAAAATTTTCTAAAATAAATCCACTCCACGAAAGTCTATTTTTCGACCATAACCTTATCGAGTTTCATTAAGGAAAATATATATGTCGTAGGAATTTAGATGATTGATTATACCTATTTCCGAGGAGCTTGTGAAGCCTAATGATGAGCTCAGCTTCATCATCTGTGATATTGCCTCTCTTGATTCCAGGCCTGAGATAATTGAGCCATCTTAACCTGCAGCTCTTCCCACATCTCTTCAATCCTGCAACATTTTAATAACCCCGTGCACCATTCCCCAACCGCAAAGGATATAATTAACCCTAAAGCACCTATATATAACGACGAATACGATTTGGTTGCTAATGAACCTCGTCGCCAATGACATAGATAGACATACCTGCTTTCTGAGGGAGGTCTCTCCACTTGCCTTCGCCGTGGGCTGCAATGTAGTCGGCCAGCTTCGTGTCTTCCATGGCCGTCCAAGCTCCTCTGTTCAGTCCTTCCTTTGAGCAACAAGGCCTTCTCCCCATCTCTCTCTATTTTGGTCAAGCTAGCCAAGAGCGACTGTTAGATATATGGGAGATCGCTTGGGAGATATATATTGAAATTGAAACAAACAAGCATTGGAATATTACGACCCTAATTCGTACGTGCGTTCAGGTTTAGGTTATGGACGGTTGGGAAAGGTATATATCCTCCAATTTTCGAATGAAGCTCACCCACTATATACATGTTGTTTTTTTTGTAGGAACTATATACAAGTTGTTGATAGTGATGATAGGGAGGTATTTGTGTTTGTTTTCGGTGGTTGAGGCAGCTTCTACGATGCACAGACAAAAATGAGTGTACATATATGTACTTAATATGAAAACTAGCATTAAAACATCATATTTTTGAATTTTAATGGATAGTATCAGTCTAGTATGATGGTATGGTGTAGGATTATAACTAATCCATGCATTATCCTTAGTCCTAAACTTTAAATTCTGAATGTTAAACTCTGAAACTGAAATTTTAAACCCTAACCCTAAATTCATAAACCTTAAATCCACTAAATCAAAATAAATGTTGAATGGAATTTGTGAAATTTCATGCATATTCTTGTCCATTGTATTACAAGTGGCAACTGACATCGTTCAACATGAATCGACTGCTCAAAATGATGATTATAAGGTTGGTGCATAGCATGCACTGCCATTTTCGGGTGCAAATGGAGTAGTGATGTTCCGAAATATCTCGGATACCCTCTTGGCGCGAAACCGAATGACAGCTCGATTTGGGATGGAATCGTTGAAAAATATCAGAACAGACTTAGTGGCTGGGGAAGTAGGAATTTGTCTTATGGTGCGCGGCTTGTTCTCATCAATGCGGTCCTCTCTGGTTCCCCAACTTACTTGTTTTCTCTTTTCAAGGCCCCAAAGTCTGTTATTAAGGACCTAGAAAGGTATCAAAGAAGATTTCTCTGGAGCGGGAATACGGAGGGTAATAAGCAAGCCTTGATGGATTGGGAGGTCTGCAAAGCGCCGGTCAAGAAGGGAGGACTGGGCATTCACGATTTAGAGCTATTCAATGATGCTATGCTGACAAAATGGCTATGGAGATTTGCTACGGAGAGAGGCAGCTGGTGGCGGGGGTTGATTAATTGCAAATTTCCGAATGAGTTGTCTTGTTGGCAGACTAAGAGAGAAAGAAGGGGTTTCTCCAAGTCGGTTTGGGCTAATATCAGCAAAGAATATGATTTGTTTTGGCATTCTGCTGTGATTGATCCGGGTAATGGAACTCAAGTCTCCTTCTGGTACGATTGCTGGATCTCGGGGATTGTGCTGGCTGCTTCGTTTCCTCGCGTCGCTGCTGCCGTCCTGGACCCGGAAGCTCTCCTTTCTGACACTGCAAATACCCAGGGTGAGTTGGTGAGTTGGAACTTTAATTTTAAATATATTTTGAGGGGTGGGGCAGCGAGGGAGAGGGATAATCTCATGAATCTTTTAAACTCTTTGAATATTGCGTTTTCTTCTTATAGCCCGTGCAGGATCATGTGGAATTTGGAGGCAAATTCAAAGTTCTCTGTGAGATCTTTATACAGGAAATTCGCTGGAATGTACTTAAGAGAGTTCGATGATTTCCCAGCAGAGAATGTTTGGATTTCCTGGATTCCGAGTAAAATCTGCTTCTTCATATGGCTTGCTTACCATAATAGAGTGCTTACCCTTGATAATTTAAAGAAAAGAGGTTTGCTTCTAGCCAACATTTGTGTGATGTGCAAGAATGAGGAGGAGTCTACCCAGCACATGCTCGTGGAGTGCGATTTCGTTAGGAGGATCTGGAACATGATGTACAGCAGGAGGAACAGGACACCAAGATGGATCGGCGAGATCGTTCAAATAATAGCAAGTTGGGATAGTGCCGATGGAGACGATATCGAGAAGTGTTTTGATGCTTGTATTTTACATTCTATTTGGTGGGCTGTTTGGCTCGAGAGGAATCAGAGGATTTTCGAGGACAAAGCAACATGCTCGGAAGCGGTGGGGATAAAGGCGGCTAGGAAGGCAATGGAATGGATCGTGGTTAACGGAAAGGTGCAGAAATCAGAGGGAAGGAGATGGTTGATCGAGAAGGGTTTAGCGTATTAACGATCAGAGAGTTGTTTGTGGATCTCGGTTTTCCGAGTGTCTCTTTTGTTGTTTCAGGGAAGTGCAGTAATCTTTGGGGGCGCTGGCTGTTGGCTGCTCGTCCTTCTGCTCGTGCTTCTCTGCTGCTTTTAGCTGGTGGCGTGGTGAAGTAGCAGTGAGGGGAGGCTCCCCTCTACCAGAGGCTGAGCGTAGGGGACTCGATTGGCCGAGCTTAAGGGATTTGGTTTCAGTTCGAGCAGTATGTTCTCGACGGCTGTCTCGTTAAGCTGTCTCTGTCTCCTCTTCTCTTCCCGTTTCGGTTTTTTCCTGTATTTTTGTCCCTTTTCAGGATCATTCCTCCTGATCCTGTTTTCTTTTTGTGTACAGTTTATTTTCTTTGATTAATAAATTTTCACCATTATCAAAAAAAAAATAAAGTGAGTACACTGAATATCTTGTCATGAAATACAAAATATCTTGTCATGAAACAACACGAGAAAATGAAAAGAGAAGGTATAAAAACATATAACGTTCGTTCTTGTAAAGAGTTTGTTCTTGACATGATATCATATTTTTAGACGGATCTGAGAAATCCTATCTTCTAATCCCATGTAAATGATTGGTTGGATTAAGCACGTGATATGACATGCTTGCAAATTTCAAGTTCATATTAAGTTGAATTTAATTTATATAAGAAGTTGTTCAAGAAAATGGTATATATGATACCCATTATTGTGAAGCAATACTAATTATTTCAGCCTTTATAGTATGGAGAATGAGCAATCGCACAATGCCTATATGTTATTGCAAGTTCTTATGATCTCCTTTTTTCTAGCTACCAACTACTCCTTACATTAACACATGGGTCTTATATAAAAATCCTCATGTGCTTAGTAATCTAATAGGTACGTAAATGGTTCTGATGACTAGCCACTTATATAATCTTATATGACAAGTAGAACTACATGAAAATTTAATCCTCTTATTCGACATCATTAATAGTTCTTATGTAGTGATGGCAATGGGGCGGGGCGGGTACCTCAATTCCCATGCCCCGCCCCACGCTACTTCGGGGCGGGGCGGGTAAAATCCGCGCGGGTACGGGGCGGGGAGGGTCGACCCACTCTTACATGTTATTAAAAAAAAAATACAAATAAATTTTACTTTTTACGATAAAATGAAGGGAAAAACACTTTAAGAATGAAAAATAGTGATAATAGAATGGGTAATTGAGTCTAACAAGTTGAAAGAGCGACTCTAACTAGTTGAAGAAAAGTCAAAATAGGAGAAATATGTATAGAAATTGTAAGAAATTGAGATAAAATGTGTCTAGAACAGGGCGGGGCAGGGCGGGTCGGAAGTAGATACCCATACCCCGCCCCACACTACTACGGGTCGGGTAATACCCGCCCCATCGCGAGTCAGGTCGGGTAATACCCGCGGAGCGGGTTGAAATTGCCATCACTACAAATCAACATAGCACATTTTAATAACTCAAATTACTCGAGTGCGCGCCGGACTAAAGCAATCTTAATTTTCTTAACGTTTTGAAAGGGCTTCAACATTTTGTCATGCACGCTTGCATGTTTCTAACAGTACACTACACACAAAACCAACAATTATTTCATCGAGATTTCAAATCGTGGAAAGAATTTAATGTGCATACACAACATACGAACTGTACTGAGGACATGAGTTCTTATGGAAATGTTTGTGGTGCCGCCTTTGGGGGACCAATATGTTAAGTCTTTGTCAATAACATTGTGTTTCTATGTATGTTTAGATGTGCACTCTCTACTGAACTTTGAGAGTGAGAGGAAACGAATGGTTGCCTATCTATGTCAAGTATATTAAATTCTCAAAGTCGGGTACAAATAAGCCTCTTTGATAGGGTTCTGAGTTTGGCCCATAGGATCTTATGAAAACTTAAACATGGTAAAAAATTACTCGATTTGTAATAGTCACTCAGATTGAATCGCAGGGGGAGAGGGACACTTAAACAAGGTAACAAATTACTCGATTTGTCGCCATGCCTAGAGATATTTAATGATTTGGTTCAAATCGAATCACCTCGTGCTAAAAAAGAATCAACTTGTTGGTTAATTTTGTCTTGTGTAATTCGAGAATTTTTTTTTTTTTTTGGCTTTAAGCATATTGAATCTTGTAAGAAAAAGAATGGATCAAATAGCATCGATTTTGCTATCCATCTAGTTATGATATCATCGTATTTTCTTCATTTATAACATGAATCTTATATGAATTTTGACGTAGTTTCGGAACTGATCTATGCTCGCTCTTATTGAGCGTAAGGGTTGCTGAATTGGAGGATTTCCCCATAGTCGCCACATAGCTAGACTCTAAGAATTGTTTGGATCAACAATATCATGTCATGAAATTTCGAGCACTCTCGAAATCGGAGTTTGTCTCTCTTTTGACAAGTAGATGTAGATCCCCCTATTCACGATTCTGCATTTTGTATACATCTTCCCGTTTGACTCCCAACATCATCAACCAAATTATTAAAACTATTGTTTATAACTAAAACAATGAAGAACTTCAATAGATCGATCTTCAGAATTGCAGCGGTGCCTACAAAAAGAAACCTAACATTCTTCCTTGTTTATAAAATGCCTTCTCTTCTATGAATGTTTGGTGAAATGTGGAAGTACGGGTCCATTCACTTTCACAACGCTAGCTGGTCCAGTTTCTAAGATCCTGGAAGATCATTGCTCTGGCCCTCCAATGATTAATTTGAATCACATATGTCCTCTCAACTCTGATTTTGAGCAAACAATCATGTCTACAAGTTATATCATTTGCCCGGTTTTAGTCCTTCGATGAATGAATTCCATCAAAATTAGTTACAAACTCGTCGTTGACATTAACTCGGCCCTAGTAAGTACGTTCTAGACGGCTCACAAGCCATATATATGGGAAGATCATATTTTGCCACCATTTTATGAGGGTGAACGACTAACGTGTTGATCATCTAGAACGCGTTTACTTAACATAGACCGATGGTCGACCATTAGTATTTAGTAGTATATATTTGAATTAAATGTTTAGCACAGATTCAAAACAGATAAATAACATAATACAGTTTCATATATTCCTGGTGCAGAACGACAGCAACTGTACAATTATCTGTCAGACGAAAACAGAACAGGCGAAAGTGAAACAGAGGTCAGTTTCCCTTTCTTTATCCCTATTTGTCTTTCCTTAGAAAAGGAAGAAGGTTTTGGAAGTGTCCTAGACAGATCAAATCTGGCTCAATAAGTTTGGTAGTATAATAAAGTGGCCAGAAACTGGAGGAAAGAAGACAAAAAGTGAACAGATGTCCACAATCTCAGTCAGGGGGGAAAGTTTATGGTGCCAAGCTACAACACATAACAATATAACAGTAGGAATTAGTTCTCTGGCTATATATCTAATCTATGTCTCTACTAATTTGATAACCAAATACTTTACACGAGGGTTTTCTGCTGCTGATAAATGCAAACTATATAGCTTCTGTTACTTTCACGTTCATACAAACCTGTGTAGCCAAAAAAAAAAACAAAGGGGACCAAAACGAAGTTCAGTAGAAGTTGGAGGATCAACACAGCATTCTTCTGAAAATTAGAATTTGAAACATGGAAGTTAGTAACTGGATGCCCTATAGAAGATTAATGGCAACTATCAGACCGTTAAGCTGAAACCCTTAGAATATTGGCCATGTTGCCACATTGAAAAGCTTAGAACTTTGCTTACCCGAGAAGGTCGGTGTAGTTACATCCAATTGAACATGGATTTGATCTTTTGTCGCAACAGGCGTCAAAAACGGGTCATTTGCTGCAACATTTGGGTAGGGTTTGGTTGTGAAACCAACTGCCCTGAACTCAGAGAAGGTCTCATAAGCAGGTGGTGGTTGTTGTTGTTAACCATCGTTGGGTTGCTTATTCCTGGTGTAGCAACGGTCTCTTTAGGGTTATTGTTATTTGCTTCAGAATGCGAAGATTCCATGAGTGCTCGCACCTGATCATGGGGCATATGCTAAGGTGAACACGCTATTCCATGAAAGGGAGAGAAGCAAAACTATAAAGAGAAAGATATAGGGAGAAGTTGATTTTACCATATCAAGTCGCTTATTGTGGAGATCACTCGATAACTGCAGTAAGTTTCCAATACGAAACATTAGAACATCTCTTAAACAAAGCCAGGCAAGACAGTCAGGAACAAGTATCCAAAATTATTATGCAGTAAGTGAACCCTTACTGGTTTTCTTTGCTGCTTTTGATCCTCGGTTGAAAATCCAGGAACTGTCAAGTGCCAGTTTTTCTCTGAATACAAATTCACACATCCAAAATTGTAGTAAGAACATCAAAGCCGTTTATACATTCCACATCAATGCTAATTCTGATTGGTGTGTTCGAGACCAATGCAGACACAAACCTAAATGTAGCAATAAATCCTTGGACTCTAGAGTAGAGGACTTCCTGTGCTTGGCCAAATTGCAAGCAAATGAGGTCACCTGGATATGCACATAAGAAAGTTTTCACTTTCAGGTCAGGATCCGGAATATCAGAAATATGAGGGAAATTTAACTATGTTGGCAAGCAAACTCACAGAATCAATGAAGTCATCAGCAATCTCCAAAAGAAGGTCTTCTACATCAGGATCTAGCTTCCCCTGAGGATCCACCTGAGCATAATTGCCAAAGAATGGTGAAAATCATATGGAGCAAATTGCAATGGAAATAAAAAGAAGAATAAAGCATTGTTTCGAGCAAAGAACATGGTAGAAAATGTGTAAACCTGGGAAACTAAGTCTTGTATCTTTCTCTTCCCAAGAAGTTGATTAGTTGCTTCCGTGCCTTGGCTAGAACTCCCTCCTTGAGTGGTTGTACCAGATGCTGTCGCATCTGGCTGTGACCCGGTCAAACTAACTGATTTCTGACCACCTGGTCCCGGAATTCTTGGAGATTGCTGCTGGTGCTGATGCAAAGGAATCTGCTGCTGCTGTTGGAGTAGCTGTTGTTGATGTTGTAGCTGCTGCTGTTGCTGTCAAAATCGAGATGTTTGAAAGGTACAATACATGAACAATTTCACTAAATCTTATTATTATACATTCTATAAGCATTTTTTATGGCAAAATACTACAATTATACAATTTTTATGGTAATACTACAAACGATATGCATTTTTTATGGAAATACTATAATTATACATACAACATCAATCAATCTGTTATTTATTTTTTTATGGTAAATCAAACCTATCATTACATTCTCAAATATAAATGAAGACGATTTAAAATAATGAAGTTACATTTTGCCATCTAGAAGATAGTACAGTAGTAACATTTTACAAGCAAATCATAACTTTTAAATACGTTTTTTGTGGTAAATATCATAAGATTTTATTTATGGGAAGACCTCGACAGGGTTTGCTCGTCTAGAATCCTGAAATCATGATTGAGATCTTAAAATGCAATTTTAACAACATACTTGCTGCTGTAGCTGTTGGTGGCTCATACTAGGTTGTTGCTGTTGCTGCTGTTGTTGCTGCTGCTGTTGTTGTTGCTGCTGCTGCTGTACGAGCTGAGACAGTTGGTGTGGATTCAAATTCATGGAATTTTGGTGCAACTGAGAAGACGACGACATCTGCTGCTGCAGGAGTAGTTGGGATTGCCTCTGTTGTTGAATGCGATAAGAGGGTGAGGCGGGACCTGAGAGAGCCGGCGTTTGCTTCAACCACTGCTGTTGTGACAAAGAGTTCTGCATGAGAGCTTGAGGTGAATTCTGAGCCAGCCCTGATAGCTGAGGGTTCATGAATGCCAGTGAAGATGTCCTGGACAAATTTGAGACCTGGAAGAAATTCTAGATGCATAGTGTTTCAGGTTTTAATGCCTTGAGATTGCACGTAAAAGATAGTGGACAGAACAAGTGGCATTCATTCACATTCTGAATGGAAAGAATTCATACCAGAAATTGAGAAATACGTCTTTATAGAGCATAAAATATTATGGACGGATTTTGGCACTTATCCACAATCTCATGCAATAATTCATGTCAGGGTACTGAATAGACGATGGCAGTAAATAGATATTCTGAATATAATAGAAAGAAGGAACAAAGAAATGCAAAACTGTGAAATTCCGTTATCTCCATACACTTTTTTTTTTTTAACAAATTATCTCCATACACTGATACACATGCATTCACCTTAGAGTGAACAATCGCAAAAAAGGGCATTTCCATTGTATAAATGAAAATAAAAATAAAAATAATGAATTCAGGATGACACTTGACGAATTACAACGTGCACTTGGTTCCCCAATTCAAGAGGCAATTAGCAGCACTACTTATCAATATGCGCTTTGGGAAAACGAGCCATTGTTTGAAGAAATAGGCAGATTTTAGATATTGAGCAGTCCATAATTAAGTTGCTATATCATCAAAATTCACAAGAACGGGATGCTTAACAGAAAATACAAATCATAATGCAACAGGCAACAGGCAACAGCACAAGCTATTATAATAATAAAAAACCCAAGAAGATGGAGTGAATATTTTCAGAGATTTCATGCCTGAGCAGAGTTGAGGGAGTTTTGCTGTGCCAGTTGCTGCCGCAACTGACCTGCACTCATTCGCTGCTGAGCATATGCAAGAGCACCAGATCTTAACTGGGAGCTCAAATTAAGTGACCCCATCATCCCCATTGCCTGCACCCCGGGTAAAGCCTGTCCACCAGAATTCCCTGGATGGAATTGAGATCCTTGGACCATTCCACCTTTCTGTCTAGGCTACATATACACACAAAACAAACTTGCTTGCTTCAGATGACATGGCCTACTGAAAGCGCTTCATATCGAATTAACAGCAAAGCAAAACGCACCCAACAAAGAACTAAACTCTCCTTAACTATTGGATGATACCCCAACATAACACAACAAAAAAAGGGGGAACGTAACGCCTGTCTGATCTGTTTTAGCGAAATGACTTTCCTAATCAGTTTGTGCGCATCAACAACTAACTACATGATGTCTGTCAGTAGCACAAAGCTGACACTTCGATTTACAAATCAAATACCCTACAGCAGTTTAAAATCGGTAATGGAAAAGCAACACAATAGCCTATGATTCTCAATTCACGTTTGCTTATATGAAATGACACTGGTCTCGCGAGTATCAGACTGAGACAGCTCTAATGTCAAGCAAATGTAACGACTTTCAGGATTTCCACAGCTAAATGAATGCATCATCAATCGGTTGAGTAAAGCACTTTCTCAATTACTTCTTCTAGAGGATTCAACAAACGTTTCTATCGGCAGATTCCAAATAAAACAAAAAGATCGATTTAGCTATCCATACCGAGGCCAATAACTGCGACTGCAAGTTCAAATGAGCCGAGGCGGCAGCAGCTGGCCCGGCCATCATCGGCAGGTGCCCGCTCTGACCGAGAAGAGCTGAACGAGACAAATTCCCAGCGGCACCATTACTACCACCCAATTGATGGCTCTGCTGAGAATTCTGCTGAATTGAACCCGACCCACCTCCGAAATTCATTGGCCCATAAATCCCCTGCTGCTGCTGCTGATTCTGCTGCTGCTGCCTCGAAACGCCACCGAACTGACTCTGCTGCTGTTGCTGCTGAACTTGGTTCATCTGGCTTAGCCGAGACATGGAAGGAGATCTCTGCAGCGACTGAGGGATTTGGTAACCCGACATTGCAGCAGCAGCCGCCACCGCAGCCACATTCTGCTGCTGCTGCTGATGCTGATCGGGAGGAAGAGGTGGGGAAGAGATTTGCAGAGTCTGCTGCGGCAAATTGGGCATTCCACCGCCGGCCTGCGGTGACGTCAAAGCGGCCGCGTTCAAATTGGCGTTGGCCTGCTGCTGCTGCTGTGACAACTGTGGCGTTGAAGTGTCCATTTGAACGGGAGGCGAAGACAGAGGATTAGGGGAAGAAGCAGCACCGGCGGCGCTTTCCGCCATTCAAAAGGGAGGGAAAGGGGGTTATTATTCCGCACAAGCTGGAGACGAGAGTCGCTGAGTGGTGGTGGTTTTTTTAGGTCTTGGAGATCTAAGTCATTGGCTTCCTGGAAAATTGGGCAGCTGGGAATTGTTGGAATTTTTAGGGTTTTCTGAATTGGGAATTTTTGTAATGAGAAGTTGCAGAGATTTGAGCGACGAAGAAGAGAGAGAGAGAGAGAGAGTTTGAAGAAAGACGGAGGGGAGAGAAAGGGAAAGGAGTGATCGGGGACGTACACGTAAGCTCCCGCAACGGTGGGCGCTTCTTTTGTTTTTTATATTTTCATTACGGTCCGCCACGTGTGATGTAATGATTGGATAAAGTTGGTAGAAAGGGAAAATTAGAATCTCTCATGCCAGTAGGGGTTAACGCCCCCAAACCAACTCACTCGTATTTATCGTTAAAATTAATGTCTAAGGTTGGATGATGTTTTTTTGTGTACAACTCGCCTCTTTGAGTTGAGTGTGAATATTGGGTCACAGAACTCGTAAAATCCGATCCAGCTCGTGTTTCAACTATCGATATTAATGTTTATCCAAAATATATTTGTGATTGTGTCATATATAAGCATGTTTTTTAGAAATTTAAGGTATTTAATCATGCTTTTCTCTTGTGGTCAGTGGCGAAGCCAAAAATCCGAACGAGAGAGGCTAACTGTCATAATTGGGGGAGGGGACAAAAGGCTTACCGACAATTCTAATTTCTAAATTTGTGCCAATTTTATATGTAATATTACATTATTACATATATTTCAAAATTGAGGGAGGGCTACAACCCTCCTAACTTCAAATTAACTCCACCACTATTCGTGGTCTCTCTAACCTAATGCATTTTTCGACTTAAATTTAGACATATATATAACTTCTTTAACCTAACGCATTCTTTGACTTAAATTTAGACGTATATTTAATTTAGGCTATGATTCACTTATTCTTTTTTCTTGTGTCTAATTTCAAAATAATAATATATTATGAATTCATTCTCTTATAACCTCTTTATCTTATTGAAAAAAACTAGACATATGTTAAAACAAATTGCATTCATTAAAATTCAAACAACAGTATTTTGATATCACCTTAGTTTATTTATTTGAAATTTTAATTAGTTATATAATATTTTCGTAGTGTAGAATAATTATTTTTTGTGTTGGGTTGGGTCTTTATCTAAAAGTATCGCTCACCTGATCCAACCCAACTCAATTATAAATAAATCATAGGATTCTAATTTTTGGATGAGTTTGGATTTATTATTTCCAAAATCGTAGTGTATGGGTGGGGTGATTAAAATGACTAAACCCGGACCAACCGACCCATGTACACCCTTACTCATGTGCACAATTCAGAACATCAGTAAGCATGAACATGCTATGCTGACAAGGGGCTCGACTTTTGGATCGGGAAAAACTCGTTTACTATGAGTGAAACTTAAATTATGTATTATTCAGCTTGCAAGATTCGCGAGCCAACTCAAATATATGGCTTGTTGAGCTCCACATGTGAGCTAGCTCGTCTTGAGTTATGAGTTGTCTCGATATTGTGGCTAGCGAGCAACCTCAACTAGCTAGCAACTTATGAGCAAATTGATTAACAATTTATCAAGTTGCTTGTTATAACTTCATTAATTTGTTAGATTATATATATATCATGGCATATCATGAATAAGACTTTGGGCATGTGATCAAATATATCTCATTAAAAATTTTAAAGTGACATTTTATATCATTGATTGCTTAGAATTACTATCGAATAACATTATACGAACAATTAAAATTTATGAACTAAATAATATGATACCTGAGCTCGAGCCGTCTCACAAGCTGATTAATGAGTCGAACTCAAGTAGAGCTCATGATCTCATCAACGATCCAAGATCGAGTCGACCTTGAGTCAAACACGAGTCAAAGTTTTAGTAACTAATCGACCTTGAGCTCAACTAGTTTATTATTTAGCTGAGCCCAAGTTAAGTCAAAACTCGACTCGTCTCGGCTCATTTGTAACCCTAGTGTTAATGGAAGACCAATGGAACTGTCTAACTAATCATGGCCAGTATCGGCTTTCTCATCAAACATGCCTAATGGAAGGTGTGTGATGGAAAAAAATTGACGAAGTGCCCTTTATGAATTTGAAGGCAGAATTTACACTCTGTTCACGAAAGAGAGGGAAACTAGGGGAGGGGAAGGAGAATTTGGAGGGAGTGAAAATTTGAGGGTAGTGAAATAATGAGAGAAAAATAGGTGTTCAATTTTGAAGGAGAAAAAAAGGGCTCAATAAAAGACATTTTCACGTCAACTTTGGAGGCAATTGATACATTAGTTGTCCCCCCAAAATAGTCATTCCCGTGTACGGTAGCAAAACTTATGAACCGATGAAAAGTTATAAATCTCTCCATTTTTCCATAGTTTTTTCCCACCCTATATTTCCCTTCGTGAACAAAGGGTTAGAGTGAGTAACACTTGGTATGGATTCTTGTAGGAGCGGACCTAATAGTTGTTCTGTGATACCTTTGCTATTTGGTTTTTACCCCTCTTTCCTTGTATTTGTTTTTGTAATTATTGAGTCAACCTTTTGAGCTCCTCGATTCATTTTTGGATGTTGGTTAATGATACACTTATCGTTTTCATTTAAGAAATGTCTTTCATACTTTTTGAGTTTGTGGTTTTAATATAGTGTAGGATCCAACTACAACAAAATCAGAAATGAAAAGCTTCTCATCTCCTTCTTTCGCTCCACTCTTTGGTCTTAAGAATGCAATCAACCCAGTTCCCCCGATGTCTTTCATCGTTGTTCTTTTTTTTTTACGAGAGCTATTGATGCATCATGATGCATCACTGATTAGAAGGTTGTTGCAACAAGTCAGAATCTTATCACCTCCAAAATGTTCCATATCACAGTGGTTGCTAACTAGCTAAGTAGTATTCAAATATATTATTATGGTTAGCTAGTGTTATGTTAAGTGATATGTTTGATTCCCAAGAACCAACACAATTCGTTGTATTTCGTTGATCATGCGAGTTGAACCTACATCGTCATAGTAACTTAGATTACATTCGGTTGATAGTACTCAAAGAAAAATAATCATGGTGATATAAGCTAATTATGAAACCCCTTCTAGTCGAGATTTTGCAATGGGTTTCTCGAAGAGACCTATCATTATTTGAGAGGAGTTATGCTCCCCTATGGTGGATGCAACTACTTTTTTAAATCTATGTTTGAAAATTATTGTGATAGCTTATTTGTTTGAATTCCTTGAAGATTTTATATATATGTGAAACTCCCAAAAAGATTAATTACTCCTAGAAGGATTAATTTACCTGAAGTAAACAAGTAAAGTTCTCGAGAACATATATCGATAGACTAAGAATATCTCCTGTATGGGTTGAGACAACATAGACGAATGTGAAATACTCGTCTAAGTGAACACCTACAACAGTAGGGTTAATGGACCTTAAAAGGTTAAATCCAGATAAAGTGCATTAGAGCATCTGCATTGTGCATATATAGTTGTGTTGTCTGTATGTGCTTCAAGGATTTTAAATTCTTGGTTTATGTGTTGTGTTTTACTTTAAAGTATGATTTATGTTTTATGAGTGTGTTTTGTCGAGTTCATATTGTTTATATGATGTGAGTTTTGTTATTATCTTTCGTGATATGAAAGAACTGCTTGCATCAATTCTTTGTGACGATCTCATATTATATTGATGATATGAATATTATTGGAGCTATTGAAGATATTCCTAAAGCAGTTGATTGATTAGAGACATAAGTTAAATTGTAGGATTTAAGATCCTTTCATGGGCAATGAAGGTAATGTTGAAAAAGTGGGAAAATAATTTTGCATAAACAAATTGTGTTCATCAAATAACATTAAGATCCTAAGATCACTAGAAGTGACCAAAGATCCATTTAGGCATCAAGAAAGAAGTGAAACATTAGGTCATGAAGTACTATATGTGATGTACTAGGTCCTAAAGTACCTAATGTTGATGCATCAGAGCACCAATGCAGCTTGCTAGCCAAGCACCATATAAACTATCACTTTGGTGTTGATAATATTAGCAAGATACAATATTTCCCTCATTGGAACGTTGGAAAATACTTTGTTACCTCTGGGAACAATATATGTGATTGTTCTATTATGGTATTATCAAAGAGATATTTGGTGACCTATATATCCAAATCCTATATACCATTTAATCCTCATATTGGTTGATCGAAGACGAGCTATGTATTACATATATTGATATAACTGTTTCATAGAGAAACAAAACAAACTATAATAGGCAAGTCCTGAATGTATTTTGTTACACTTTGTGATTCACCATATCTAAAGGACTTGTGACTGTGAACTACTTCCAAAGGAAATGATCATGACGATAATGTATGAAGAAAATCTAAAGATAATGCATCAAATTGACAATCTAGAAGATTGTTCACTAACTCACTCCCGACAACAATCTTTATAAAAGTTGTTCGTGAAATTTGAGATCAACGACTCAAAGATCTGAAGTGATGTGGTAATGAGGGGGAATATATACGCACTGCACTCTTTTTCCCTTAACCATGGTTTTTCTCACTGGGTTTCCTGGTAAGATTTTTAACGAGGCAGTATGAGATAGGGTAATGTGATCTAGTGGTCATCCGGGGGAGTATTATGTAAATATTGATATATGGATTACCAATGACCTACCATACTAGATGCTCACTTGGGAGTTACATGTAATCCATATTCCTACATCATTATCTCACATTCATATGCATTGATATAAGGATGTAGTGGTTACCAAAGTGTGCCTATAAATAGAGCACACCATTTCATCAAAAAATGAAGAATGAATAAGAAGAACTCTTCCCCTCTCTTTGTATCTTTCCCTCTATAATTTTCTCTTATAGTTGTTTATATTTTCCATTAATTTTATAATAAATACGTGTTTTTTTTCCCATAAAACAAATACATGTTTTTTTGCCATAAACAAATACAATGTTTTTTTGCCATAAACAAATACATGTTTGGGCTTAATAACTCATCTGATGAGATAAACTCATCCACCCACCTAATGAGTGCTCAGTTTAATAACCACATTATAAAAACCAAGGGTGATATTCAGTTAGTCGGTAGTGAATACACTGATAAACTAACCGATAACTTGCAATTAATGGTTATCAGCTAACCAAATATAAATTAGTGCAGTTATCGGTAAGGTGAAATGGCTTCTATGGTAACCGATAGCGGAATAACTAGTTAACAATTAACTGACAACTAACCAAATATAAATATTTATGTTTCTCTCTCACAAAATGCTCATACCTCTCCCTATAGAGTCTCGAACTTCGAATAAACAATCTCCGATCCTCTTATTTTTCACCAATTTCCTCTCAGTTTCAACCTTAAAATTGAAAGAGACAAAGAGCAGCGTCGATTTTGCGATTGAAATGTAAGCATCAAGATTGGATTGAGAATATCATATGATTTGTATGGGAAGAAAGATATTAAATGTGGTGCCCTAATTTCTTCCACCGATGACTTTCTTAACCCGGTTTACACTCATCACTCTTCTTCTTTCTCTTCTCGCTTTCTTCTATCAGTCAATAGGATCGACAAGTTAAAACCAAATTAATGATGCAAATATTTAAAAAATGAACACATACATATGGAGAGAAAAATCTATAAAAGGTGTAGATTTGAAAATGATTATCAATATGATATTTTACTCTAACCTTGTCGAACATTTGCTAAATGGTTAATCTATTAACTGATAACCGACTATGTGGTTACGCTTAACCAACTAATACAAACAATGCACATATTTGTAAAATAAAATTACTTCACGGTTATGATTGTAACCTAACCGAATCAACTAACAAGCCTAAAAAACCGAATATTTAGGAAACTTACCTACCAGTCGATCCGACCAGAAATACCGGATACCAAACCCAAAATGGTATGCGGTTTTAGCAGTAGAAAACGGTTGAACCACGATTTTACTACAAAATACCTTACCACTAACTTTTCCGATATGACCTCCAATACGGTTTTACAAACTTTGAAAAAAAACTAACAATTAGTGTGATAACTAATAAGAAAAAGCTAAAAGGATCATTTCCTAATAATATCTATTATCATTACTTAATGGGCCAAGCCAATTGCTATAGTATCCATATGATCTGAAAATCATAATAATCCAATCTGTACTTCTTGCCCCAAAAAGACCATTTCAAACAAAAGATTCCATGACAAAAAGCCCAACACGCAGTTCAACATTCTCAGGCGTGTGTTTCCTCCTTTCCTTTCCTCTCCTCTGGGCCACAAACTTTCTCGCACGATAGATTCCATCTTTCCGTAGGCTGTCAACCCGTCTCTCCCTTTCCTCCTGATCTCATATTTCTCTCCCAGAAAGAAAGAATGCCCAACTGATAAATCCGAGGAAATCTTAGATTTCCCATCCCTTTCTCTCTCTGTCTCTCTCCTCCCTCAGTCCAGCCTTTTGAGGTTCATGGGTATGTCCAATCTTGCCATGTTGTATATTTTTGGAGCTTTATTCGAGTTCAATTGCGTTGTTGGTCTTGTGGGTTTTGCTTATTCGAGGATGAAGTTCGTTCCTTCATTTTTGTTTTCTCATTGCTGATTGCCAAGCTTTGTAGCTTTCTTGTTGGATTTGTGCTTGGTTAAATTCTTCTTTTTACTTCCTTCCTTTCAATTATTCCAAGTCTTTGTTTGAGGTTAATTGGATTTCAGCTGGTGTCCTTTGAATGCCGAACTGGTTTTTGTCTTACCTTTTACCTCCTGCCAGAGTGAAAGAGGGTTCAGTCTCTGAGTGGAGGCCTCTTCTTTTGTTTGCAATCTTCTTCTTTCTGTTGATTTCATGGCTTCTAATAAATACATTCTGGTGTTTACTAGTTAGTTAAATGGAGCCGATGTGGAGGAATCTGAAAGATCTCCTTATGTTGCTGAAATAAGTAGAGATATATGAATTCCTGCTAGGTTTATTGTTCCTTCTAGCGGGTTTTGATACACTCCTTTAGTTCAATCAGATACGTGGATGGAATCGAATCAATGATGTGTTTGTAGATTTCAGGGTGAAGTGTGGACTTACTTTGTGGTTTGACATTTGAATGCAGCAGTAGAGGTTTTATTTTGATGTGATTGAGGTGCTGGAACAGGATGGAAGAAGGCGATATGTTCTCGGGGTTAGGGGATGGTGGGATTCAGGTAGATGGCAAGGTGCTGCAGACGTTTCAGAGAAGTTTCCGGCAAGTTCAGGACATCCTAGATCAGAACAGGTTGCTAATCAACGAGATAAACCAGAACCACGAATCGAAGATCCCGGATAACTTGAGCCGAAATGTTGGGTTGATTAAAGAGCTGAACAACAACATTAGAAGGGTTGTAGATCTCTACTCCGATCTTTCTACTGACTTTGCTCAGTCAATGGAAACAACAACCTCCTTGGATGGGGAATCAACCGCGGTTTTGAGGACCAGTGGGAACAGTAAGCCCAGCCAGAAGAGGAATAGGTTTGGCAATTGATTAAAACACTTTAAGGTTCTTAGAAATTTTTCGTATACAGTGTAATAAGGGAAAGAAAGAACAAATCTCTTTTTGTGTGTGATCAATGGTTAGGTTTCGACTATTAGCATTGCAGCTTCCAGTATATGACATTCTGCTAAGTCCATTGCTTCAATTCAATGTCTGTCTGTTGTACTGTCCTATTGAATCAAATAAACTTCTAGTTTTGTTTCTCTAGCCGATTTCCTGATATCTGTGGCATTCTTTTTTCCGCAGTATTTTATCAGTAATTGATGATTATCCTCTTTTCTTTCATTCGGAATTCTTTCTTTGTTCATCATATACAGTTGAATGAAGGAGAACAAGTGTTGGATTAATCTCTTGACGACGGAGAAAGAATTGGACTGAGTTTCTGAAACTTCTTTTAGTGTAGTGATCCATGGCTAAGGTTCAAATACAGGTAGTTCAGTACTTGGTACTTTAGTGAAGTCATTGACCATTATAGTTGTTACTTGAGATATTTTCTTCTTTCCACTGTCTTGTGACATTTACTGTTCCTCCTAAGAGCAGAAATCATGTGGGTTGTGAAGTTAATGCTGCATTGAAATCATGTTCTTGAATGAAATGTTTAGGACTTATGGCTCATCTTTCCAGCAGTTATGTGTTCAGATATGGATAGTAAATTTCAAGAAAAGTAAAGAACTTACTTCTCATGTGATGACTGCAGCTTGTTTTCCAAATGAAGTATGAAACTTCCGTCTCTAAAGTAGTAGCTTTTGCTTTGCCCTTGTAAGGAATCAAAATGGAAATTCTTGCTTGATTGTTTGCTTCTTGGTGGCAGAGGGCAAAGTGAAAAAAGCAAAAAGAGAGAGAGAGATACTGTTAACTGCCAGGAATAGCAATGGGGCTGGGGTGTCAATGCTCATATTCACTCATATTGAATCCTATGTCAGTTTAGGTAGGTTAGGTCTGGAGTCAGATTATCAGAGAGTTGAACTCTCAAACTTAATACATGATTGAAGAAGGGAAAACAAGTAAATATAGAAGAAATTTGAGATAGAATTCGTCGAAAATGAGACGATAAGATGCAAATGATCCGTGAACAACGCTTGCTCGACCTTATTTTGCTTGCGACTTGTCATGCATTGGAAAAGATTAGTGGAAAACAAGTTGGAGCAGATGAACTTGAATTGTCATTCTACCATTGTATATCAACAATAACAAAAAACTTGCCCTCCTCCATCCATCATTCTGGTTAGACTCTTTCCAATCTGATTCCCTTCTTCTTCCCCATTGACCACCCTGTTCCATGACAAAAAGTAAAGCAGAGAATGAATGCCACTGCTGCTACTATAAACAGACAACTGTAATCATATTAATACCACATGCTTCAGAGGCCAGCAAGAGTTTTCTCTAGACAAGAGAGGCATACTATTACTACCTAAGACAAAAGAACCATGTGCTTTTTTCCACCTTTGAAGCTATCCAAACTGGCAAAGAATCCTTTCTGCTAGTTCAGAAAACCAGCAGGGAGTTTTCTGGCTAGGGAAATAACCAAACGACTAGATGGCCACTGAACTATGAGGTTAGTAAAGAAATGGTCTTAGTTGAGTTCTAATTCATCCTCGATTCATAAGTGATCGGATCTGGTTGGTTGGTGTTTATGGTTCCAATCGTGCTTTTTCACTAGCGTGATACTATTTGGTTTGCCGACTCAATCGCACTCTACCCGTGAGTTAGATAAAATGAGGAGTATTAGTTGTTTTACTTAAACCAATGTAATCTATTTACCATTCGTTTCACACCTCATAATCTAGCGATAATTCTAGGCATTCAACCCCATGCCTTAAAATGGATGATGGACTCAGACCAAAAGATTCTTATTGAAATATAATTGTTTTTATCAGGAAAACCAAAATTACATGGAGAATTCAAACAAAATATGAGAATTTGCATGCCCTAAAACTCTTTAGCTCTAGTTTTCAATTCAAAAAGTTTTCATTTGGAATATCTAACCATGGCTATGTTTGAAATTATTGAACTAATTTTTGTGGTATTGTCACTCACAATATTTCAATAATTTAATAAAACAATTCCAGCAACCATTCATGTCTAACACTTATCCAGCCAACTAGTAAAGACAAAAGGTGATCAATCCTAACATGTAGTATCATTACTTAATGGGCCAAGCCATTGCCATCCAATATCAAAATTCAAAGGGGAAGTCATAATAATCCAATTTGTACTTCTCCAAAAGACAATAAACAAAAAAGATTCCATCCAAAAAGCCCAACACACAGACTGTCAACTGTCTCTCCCTTTCCCTTTGATCTCTTATTATTTGATTTCTCCACCAGAAAGGATGCCGAACATTCGGCGTGTAAAGCAATGGAAGCCACTCTGAAAATTCCGACGAATTCTTTGATCTCCCTTCCCTTTCTCCCTCTCTCCTCACTCAATCCTGGCATCTGAGGTTCATGGGTATTGCCAATCTTTGCCTTCTTGTAGATTTTTGGAGCTTTATTCCAGCGAATGGCGTTGTTGGTCTTTTGGGTTTGGCTGATTTCAAATGAATGAGAGATAAAGTTCGTTCCTTTATTTTGTTTTCTTATAGCAGATTGGTAAGTTTTTGTAGGTTTCTTGTTGTATTTGTGCATGTTGTTCCCCTATAATAATTGTTATTGATTCCTCAAGACAATTCTCCTTTTTTACTTCCTTTCAATTTTCCCCAAGTCCTTGTTTGGAGTTAATTGAGATTTCAGATACTGTTAATGTCATTGGCTTGTTCTTCCCATATATCTTATCTCCCTTAGCTTCTGGCCTGACTTTTGGCTGAGAGAAAGGTTTGATTTCTGTGTAAAAGAACTCTCCTTTTGTTTGCACTCTTTTATTGTTTCATGTTTCTGAATAAATTATGGTTTGTACTAGTTAAATGGAGCATGTGTGGGGGCAATCTGAATGTCCTTTTTGTTGAGAAACAGTGAAAATATCAATTTCTGCTAGATTTCTTGTTCATTTGATTGGGGTTTGATACTCTGCTAGTTCGGATGGATATGCGGAAGGGAACAGGTTAATGATGCATATTTGCAGACTCAGGATTAAGTCTGAACTTACTGTAGTTTTATAATTTTGAATGCAGGAAAGGTTGTGCTTTGATTTGATTGAGGTGGGTTAGCTGAAAAATGGAAGAAGGCGATATGTTTGCGAGCTTAGGGGATGGAAGTATTCAAGTAGATGGGAAGGTGTTGCAGACGTTTCAGAGAAGTTTCCGGCAAGTTCAGGACATCCTAGATCAGAACAGGTTGCTAATCAACGAGATAAACCAGAACCACGAATCAAAGATCCCAGATAACCTGAGCCGAAATGTGGGGTTAATTAGAGAGCTGAATAACAACATAAGAAGAGTTGTAGATCTATACTCCGATCTTTCTACTGACTTTGCTCGGTCAATGGAAACAGCAACTTCCTCAGATGGCGAATCAACCGCAGTTTTGAAGACTAGTGGGAACAATAAGCCCAGCCACAAGAGGAATAGATTTGACAATTGATCAAAACTCAAGGTTTTCTTAATTTGTTTTTTTTGTATGCAGTAGAATAAGGGAATGAAAGAACTGGATGGGTCCATAGACTTACTTTTAGTGTGAATGATCCATATTTAGGGTGTTGAGTACAAGTATTGCAGCTTCCAGTTTGGTTTCTCTCTCTGATTGCTTCATTTCAATGTGTTTGTACTGTCCTGTTGAATCAAATAAACATTCTAGTTTGGTTTCTCTCCTCAATTATCTGATCTCTGTGGCTTGTTTTGTATCATATCTTTATTAGTAAATTGATGATCATCTGTCTTGCTCTGAGCAATTTTCATTTTTATTGTACTGTAGAATTAGGAGAAAAAGTCTTTGTTCACTGATAATGATGAAGAAAGAATTGGACGAGTTTATGAAACTTCTTTTAGTAACTGAGGATCCATGGTTAAGGTTCAAGTACAAGCATTGCAGCTTCCCAGTAGATAACAATTCTTACTGAATACAATTACTTCAACTCCTTGCCTTTGTGCAGCAGCATCCTCCAATATTTCCCAGCAGTCAGTTGATGATGATCTTCGTCCTCTCGTTGCTTGAGAATTTAATCAACTGTTCATCCTGTCTGACTTCTGTCATATGGAAGGGGTTGGACAATGCCTCACTCCAAATGATACAGGTTGGACAACTCGAGCTCTGCTGTTACATTGAAGAACTCGAGAACATGAAACCATTGATCCCAGCTCTTGAGCCGGTGAACTGCAATGGTCTCCGGTATAAGCTCGTGGGAACACCTTCCGTTGGTGCCTGGATAGTCGTACATTGCTGTCTTATTCGAAACCCGGTTCTTGGCTTTCCCTCCAATATTCAACCATTTCCCTACTAACTTATCTTCCGGTCCAACAGTATCATTGGCGGGAATCCTGGAGCTGGCAATCCATTCAACGAGGTCCCACGACAGCAAGTATCCCATTCCTGACATGTACTCCACAAACGGGTTCATGCTGCTGCAAGGGATGACGAAACCATAGTACAGATCATGTCTCGGCAGTGAGTCCAACGACATTGCCAATGGCTTTAGCCTCAGGTAAACATCATCGTCAGCTTTCATCACGTAGTCATAATAATGACTACTCTGTTGCTGCAAAAGACGTGGTAGCGAAGAGAAGTAAGTGTAGGTCTTGCCATTGTTCATGTTCTCACTGCAGTTTAGGATTATGATGTCGTTGAAACGAAGGATCTCTAGACCAACAAACACTTTCTGTTCATGCTTCGTGAGATTGCATAATATGAATTTGACATCTATGTCGGCTAGGGGGGATGACTGGATGCCATAGATGAGGCGGAGGAAGTGACGACGATCATAACTATCTGGGCGTGTGAAAATGCCAATCAAGAGGCGCAATTTTGTTTGGATCAGATTTCTTTCAATGGAGTCGTTCAATGATGCAGAAGATGATAGAAGGAAAGATCTTACTCGGATGTTGAAGAAGACATAGACGATGAAGAAAAGAGCTACGATGAGAAGTGGGAGAACTGCTGCTGCAAGAATTTGCCGCCTTCTACGCATCTTAGATTACAAGGGAAGGGAGAGCCTTTGATACTTGGTGATGTTTCTTTCTGTCTTTTCTTGTTGTGAATAGTCAATTTTTTATAGCTGTTGCTGGGGACCAAAATAGACAGTTACTGCCCAAGTAACAGTAAGTACAGAACTCATGTGGGCTGTGTAGTTGATGCTGCGTTGAAATCATGCCCTTAATGAAAAGTTCACGGTTTTAGGTTCAACTTTCCTGCAGTTCTGTTTGGATATAGCTTTTACATGTGAAGTACAGAAGTTACATATCATGTGATGACTTCAGTTTTTGTTTTAGTTGATGAAGTAAGAAACAAGGACCATGTGTCCTTTTTCGCTTTAAGCACAGTTGTTGGAGTTAACTTCATGAATGAGGAATTTGATTTCCTGCTTTGGTTGGTTCCTTCATAGCATATACATATATGGGGAGAACAAAATCAAATCAAATAGAGAGATACTGCTCGCAGGCAGGAGAGGATCAGCCTTTCAGAAATGCCTGTTTTTGGTTTCTCTACTTTGAGCCTATTGCCCTCCTCCCTCCAGCAATCTGGTTAGACATTCTTTCCAATCTGATACCTTCTCTCCTCCATTAATCACCTGTTTCAATCACAGAAGTAAAACAGGAAGCTTCACCTTCTTTTGCTGATGGGATTACGGGAACTAACAGAAAACCATGAAATTATTGTTCCCTCCAAACCTCAAAGACTAATCCTCCTCCTTGTGGGATAACTTGAAGAGCTTCCACACAAATGAATGCAGCATCCTCTTTGCTCAGACTTCCCTTCTCTGCACAACCCTGCAAAACCCTCTCACTTTTCAATCATACCCACAAAAACAAGAAGAAAAAGGTTGAAACTTTCTTCTCTTCTCTGTTGAATCCTTCCTGCAGAAACTAAACTTGCCTTGTCAAAGCTGAAACCTTGTGCTCCACCGGAAGTGTTCTGTAAGGCCCCAACCCTGATGATGGTGTGAGGAACCCCCGAGTTTTTCACAGTTGATTCATCTTGCTCGGCCAGTTTTCTTGCATTGCTTGTCATCAGAGATTGAATGCCACTGCTGCTACTATAAACAGACAACTGTAATCCTATTAACACTAGATACTTTAGAGGCCAGTAAAAATGACATACATTAATAGTGTAGAGAAGAAGGTGCAAGAGAGGTATATTACCTGAGACAAAAGGACTATGTGCTTTATACCTTTGAAGCTCTCAAAACTGGCAAAGAACCCCTCCTGCTAGTTCATAGAACAGCCATGAATTTCATGATAAGTCAACTCCAAACAATGCCTTGAAAGTAAATGATGAAGCTAGTAAAGGTCATCAGAAATGTTTACATTGGGGCTTATAATGGCACCAACATCACGAAGAGCTTTCCTTAGAAATGGCTTGCTATTCACATCACCCACAATGGACTGCATTTCAAACAAATTAACAAAATGAGCGGAAGGTGCGCAAGTACACCAGATTCCAACAGGGAAAATGGTCTTTGCCAATTACCTCAACGTAAGTCCCAAAAGCTTCCATTGCAGCCCTCTTATCCTTCACCAATGCCTTGACTCGTGCTCGTTTGACAATCAGTTGAAGTATCACCATCTACATATATATAGCTAGAAAGATGAACAAGGCTCAGAAGCAAAGGCACACCATGAATGAAGTTTCATCAATGCTCGAATCGTCTGAATCAAACTTCAAACCTGGCCAAGCTCAGAATCACCATCGGCAACTAGGACTGCATCCCTCACCTCATCGTCTAAACAAACATAAAAATTCATAAAATTGAGCTAAGTGTCATGGATCATGGGTTCATTGAGTACAGCGGAGAGAAGTATCGAAGCCTCAGAAAACCGAAGTTTGTTCAGATATAAAGCACCTGCAAATTCAGCATCATCGGCTTCTTCTGCCGCAGACGATCCATCTTTTGGCAGGAGTTCAGGTGCCCCATACCATTTCCTCAATTTCGGTCCTCCTGAGGAAAGATTGCAGAACCAACTTCAATTTAAACTAGTTCATCCCAGTAGCTAGAAGATACAGGAGACGCGTTTTGAAACTAACTGGATTTAATGCATAGAAAATGAAACGGCACCTTCGATGTAGTCGAGGATTTGATCGAAGAAGCCTATCTTCTTCTTGGCCGAGCAGCGAATGAGAAGACCCCTAGTTGGGGTGGCGGAGAAGCCGTATGAAGTCAATGTGGGTGATGGGTTTTGGCGATTTCGGTGAAGAAGAGGTGAAGGAAGGAGAGCAGCCGCCATCAATGGAACTTGGGAAGTGAGATGAAGCTCTGTAAGCTTACTGCCGTTCTGCGCTCTCTATGAGCTGCGGCCGCTGCATGCTCTGTTTCCCCCCTTCTTGACCAACCGTTTCGCGCGAAAGCGGATAACGATAATTGAGAAGTTGAGGTGTTTGTTTAAGCTATAAACTATGTCGTTTTGAAACGGAGCTTGAAACAAATACAGTTTTGTACGTATACTTTTATGAATGCCTACTAATTATCACTAGCACCGGACCCGGCCCCTTGGCCGGGAAAGTCTAGACAAAAAATATGTTCATATAACATGCTTACAATATAATAGGAAGATACGACATATCACTGAAAAAAGAAATATAATTGTCCAAAGAAGAAAAGAAAAACATACAAAATAATAGGTTTTCAATACTTAAAAATGGCAAATAGTTCAAGATTAGAGTTGTTTTTCCTAAAACATACATAATGAACCCTCAGAAGGAAAGAAAAAGATTGGTCTCTAACAGATTTTAGGAATGAGATCATTTGTAACCCTAATTAATGTCTAACAGATACACCCATATTATTCCTCTTCATAGAAAGTAGAATAAGGATCAGCTGGTTTGGAAGCATGCTAGTCGTAGTCCCCGAAGATGCCTAGAAAATAGTCCGGGTTCTCAAGAGAGCTTCAAACTTAAGGCTGAGTGCAACTAATTTTGAATTACATATGTTTGTCTTTGTCAGTGTTGCTGATACTTTCACTGACTACTTTGATTGGTAAGTTGACCATAAATAATAGGGATATACCTTATTTTGACCTTGAAGTTTGTCGTAAAAGCCAAACTTGACATGAACTTGCAAATAAGACAGTTTTCAAAATTTTGAAAGAAATTGACAAATTTGGACTGAAATTTATGTTGTTCGTTAATATTAAAAGTTAAAAATTTCTTCATCCATTCAACATACAATGCTCAGGTGGTTGCGATTGCGATGTGGCTTCCATGTCATAGGGATGATACCTTATTTTGGCATGAACTTGATGTAAAAGACAATTTTGGCTCGAATTTTCAAATAAGATAGGTTTGTTTGCACTTTGAAAGAAATGAACAAATTTGGTCCGAAATTTGGGTTGACCTTTAATATTGACAGTTGTGATAGAGAGGTTTCGGTTGCGATGTGGCTTCCAAGTCATTTATTTATAAAGTCTAAAAAAGTGAATTTTTCAGAAGAAAAAAATACCACAAAATAGGACCCTTAGTATATCCTAATATTTTCATATTTACTTGCATAAATCATATTAAAAGGAAAAAGAAATTGATTCAGGCCCCCAAAAATCCCAAAGCACGAAACTATCTCTCTTTGTACCCCTCTCATCAATATTAACGGCAACCTAAATTTTGGGTCAAAGTTATTCATTTCTTTGAAAATTCGTACAAAACTGTCTTATTTGAAAGTGTAGGGCAAAATAGCATATTATACCTATGACGTGAAAGTCACACCACAGTCACCTTAACATTGTATGTTGAGTCATAAAAAAAAGAAATGTTTGACCCTCAATATTAATAACCGACCCAAATTTCGGGTCAAATTTGTTAATTTCTTTCAAATTCGGACAAAACTATCTTATTTGAATGTTCATGCCAAAATTGTTATTTACATCAAAGTTCAACACAAAATAGGATATTATCCCTAAATAATATAGGAGTACTAAAAATGTTGGACTAATGAAGTTCAAAATGTTTCAAACAACATACAACCCTGATAAAACTGCAGTCCAACCAACTAACATTTAGAACAAATGACTTTCCAGCAGGATAACACAACTATAAGTATGGGTGGTTCTATCATATTTTGATTAAGAAAATTACATAAGGAAATGATATATAGACCTTGAATGATATACTCTGAGTATGAAAATGATGTCTAGTGGCCGGAGCTAGGGACATGGTACTATACCTTAAGCCCTTACAGATTAAAATCTAGGTCTTAATTCTATGAAGCTCATATACTAAGATCAATTTTATTAGAAACAATAATCGAAGGTCGTGTTTCATCAAAATACATCAAAAAAATTATGTGCATAATCTTAGTGTTTAGGGCAAGGATTGAAAACCCTTAACGTACCGGGGGTTCGACTAAACCAGTAGGCACTATGTAGTGTTGTGAAACGACTGAATCACGGTTAACCACAGTTTTCGCATAAAATACCCTCCTGCCGACTTTTTCGGTACAACCTCTGATGAGGTTTTATAATCCTTGGTTTAGGATCTATGATTTAAATAGTTAAGACCTAGAGTTCACTCGTCAAGGGTTAGAATATAGTGTCTCGTCTCGAAATCAGGTTAATTCAAAGTCTAGATTGCCATTTCTTACCAAGGGTATGAGTTACCTTTTGATTTTACTCAAAATATGATAGAAAACACTACACACACACATACTGGTATACTACAGGAGTATAGTATACTGGTATACTCCAAGAGTATAGTATACTCCACATGATCTAGACATTAGATGTACTTTGTTGAGCTCCAATCAATCTCAATGGTCAATTATAATTTTCCATTAAATTAAACTTTGGGTTTGAGTTTAGAGAATCGGGGCCTGGGGTTTATCCATTAGAGGTTAGGGTAGAGTATCATACCCCAAACTCGGTTAAAAATCATGGTCTAGATAGAGATATCTCACGAAGAGTACCTGAAGTATAATATACTCCAGGAGTACACCAGTCTGACACATATATATGTGGTTGTGTGTGCACATATATATTTAATATTGTAATTTGATATGCAATATTCGAATAAATGATATTTGGATTGCGGTTTTAAGATTATCCTCCATTTATAAGATAGACTACCATTATTATTGAAGTCAAAATAAAATAATAATAAATGATAATCAAAGATCCAACACTAAAAATGCTTAAGAAAGACTTAGTGGGGTAGCTAACTGTGCTGGAAAAGTCATTTGATTTTCAGAATTTTGCCTCTTGTATGTTTTTTTTATAAATAAATGCAACAAATTTGTTTAGTCTTATTGGTTATGACTCTTGTCCTTGTTAGAAGAGACCCGGGTTCAAATCTTGACACTGATATTTTTTTCAAATAAAAAAATAAACAATTGCAATGACGAAAGTACCCTTCCTACTTTCACTCTCGTTGCAGAAAATTTGAAATGGAAGAAAGTTGAGTCATGAATCTCCATCATATATCTTATAGAAAAGCTCAAAATCGCTAAACGTTTATGAATGCCAACTTACCTAAATACAGTTACTTTAGGGTAAGATCAGGTGATATTAGAGAAGGTGATGTTCCTGGGAGTGACTGCAATCTGCAGGGGATGACTCTGTCTGATGAATACTGAAGAGCTTGTAGCACGACGACGTTTTAATCAGAAGTAGTTGAGGAGCTGGTGAAGAAACAATGACGTTCTACTCAGTGTTTAGTTCGTTTCAATTAATACTGTACATAACACGTGTTGCTTTCTGTTTGTTAGTTAGCCTTGATTCCGTTTATATCGGTTGTAATTAAACTGATTGTACAAAGGCGAGTTAACTCGCAGTATATATCAGTCCTAGAGGCAAAGAGCCCCTTGCGGGTTTCACCACCAATCTGATCCATTCTCAAGCTTTCACATGGTATCAGAGCCTGGTTCAGGCGTCTAGGGTTTTCCCTGTTTCACCCGCATTCTCCTTCTTCTCCTCATTCTAAGTTTGCTAATCTATGGCGACTCAAGCCGCTGATAGTTCTTCCAGCTCCACTACTGTGGGTTCTGGACCCATTCAATCTGTGACTCCTTCTGTCACTAGCCCTTTCTATATAAACCCTAATGAGTCCCCTGGTGTTCCCTATCAAGCTCACTGGAGCTTCCAATTACAACTTATGGAGCAGGACAGTGCGTGTTGCCCTGAAGAGCAAGAACAAAGTTGGGTTCATAAATGGGTCGATTCCAACTCCAGATCCAACTCATGAGTCCTACCCAGCCTGGGAACAGAGTAACACATCTGTGATGTTCATGATTTTGGGTTCTCTCGATTCAAGTCTCGTAGATGCTGTCTCAACCATTGAGAATGCTCGGTTGTTGTGGGAAGATCTCAGGCAACGATTTGGCCAGGCAGACAATATCAGAATCTGGGATTTGCAGATGGCACTCTACTCCCTTAAGCAAGGTACTAGATCTGTGAATCAATTTTATTCTTAACTCAAAGGGTATTGGGAAGAACTAGGTCAATTTCTCCCAATACCTAACTGTGTCTGTGGTGGTAATGCTCATGGGACTGTAATATGCATCACTGAGACTACTATTAGAAAGTATAGGGAAAATGAATTTGTCACCATATTTATTAAGGGGTTGAATGATGCTTATGAAGGAGTACGAACCAATTTGTTCATGATGAGTCCATTTCCATCTATGGAAACTGCGTTCCACTATGCTATACAACATGAGAGGCAGTTGGTTAAGTCTAGTCCAGATTCACAGGTGGACTCAGTAGCATTGCTTGTTTCTGACCAGTCAAAAGGACAAGAGACTACCAAAGGAGGTTTTTTCTGTCGCTATTCTAAGAAAGACAACCATGTCATGGCTGATTGTTATAGGCTGAAAAGAAAGAACTCCCTCAAAGAGCAAGGGAGGTCATCTGGGTTTGCAGGACAGATTCAGGGGAGTGAAGGGAGTGGCATTCTGCCAAACCTGAAACAAAGAGTGCATCTGAAGTGGGAGATGGATTTATCAATATAAGGTTGTCTACTGAAGATCTTAGTAGACTGCAGAGGCTTCTCAACCAATTCAGTCCACCACCATCTCCAACATCACCTGGATCTCTTGGTTCTACATCAATGCAGCCACAATAAAATCAACCTATGGTAAATTCTGTTGGAAGGCATATTTCTGTGAGCACCAACTTTGCAGGTAAATACACCTTGAGCACATACTATCTAAAGCACCCATTAGAGCTTGTCAATGTGTGGTTCCTTGATACAGGAGCCACTATTCATGTTACATGCATAATGAATTCATTTGTTTCACATAGTCCAGTCCAAAACCTTTTCATTACCCTTCCTAATGGTTCTAAAACACCTGCCACTCGATATGGAACCATGAAACTGTCATCAGGGCTCATCTTACATGATGTCTTGTATGTACCAGC